ATCTGAAAAATAATGTCCAAGTAACAACATTAAATGGCAAGGGGTATTAACATCTGGAATGGATAAAGAGGGGAAATGTATTTATATTATCTTTTTATTCATTAAGTCATGTATAAGTGGTACATTTCAGTTTATGATTATAAATCATAGCAGTGCAAAATAACTAACATTTGTATGATGTACATTCAGTTTGCAGAATTCTTTCATGAGTATTTTGCCATTCGAGCCTCCTAAATGCTCATCAATCAGGTGGCAGATAGAAGAACCATCCCAATAACAAATATAGGAATGATACTTAGAGTGGGAAAATGGCTTGTCCAAGGTCACACAATTAGTAACAGGAAAATCTTGTACTTGAACCTAAATCTTATGAGTTCACAATTTAAGTTGAATTTGGGAAAGAACAGCCTTATTTTGTAGTGTCACACTGGTGAGGCCTGGGACATTGGACTGCAACATTAGAGTTAGATCACCTGTACCTTTTTTTTGTGTATGTGTGAGAGAGAAATGCAAATTCTCAGGCTCCACCTCAGAACTCTGGGGTTAGGGCATAGCAATTTGGTTTAATGATTCTTCTAAATGATCCTCGTGCTTCTAAAGCTTGAGAACCACTATGCTAAAGCAATGACTCTCAGCCCTGGCCACACACTGGAGTCACCTGGGAACTTTAAAAACTACTGAGGCTTTTGTCCCAACCCCAAAGATTGTGATTTAATTGATTTACAATATGGTTTTCAACAACATCACTACTGACATTTTGGGCTGGATTATTATTTGTTGGCAGACATGTCCTATGCATTACAAGATGTTTAACAGTATCACTGACCTCTACCCTACAGATGTTAGCAGCCTACCGCTCCCCCACCACCAGTTGTAATAAATGTCTCCAGACATTACCAAATGTCTCCTGGGGGCCAAAGATGAGAAGCACTGATCTAGGGCCATGGCTCAAGCACTGGGATTTTTAATAGCTCCCTAAATCATTCTAGTGTACAGCCATGGCTAGGAACTGTCACTCTGGAAGGTTCCTTTTAATGAGCAGCTTTAGATGTCAATGGACTAAAGAACAAGAAAAGCTAAACTTTTGAGCATTGGGTGTAAAGTTAGAATAAATCAATGTGCAGTGAAGACTCTGGCACTTTGCCCAGGAGTCAAGTAATATAGGCTTTAGGGTGTAAATTTCACACCAACCATGGGCTCCTTACATTTTTGCTTACTTTCTGGCTGTTGGGTGTGTTCCAGAAAACTGACAGAAACAGGTACTCTGCTCTTATCTAAAAATTCCCAACCAAGTAGATATTGCTTTGTGCTAAATATAAAAGTGGGCATCCTGCTTTCGGGCCTAGTCCTTCTAAAAACAGGAGGCTTATCAGTGTATCATGTGGTACAAGTCCTTCTGGAAAACCTGTTTTGACAGGCTTAAAAAAAAATTCAGCCTGTCAATTTTATGATGTTGATTTTGACACAATCCAAATCAGCCATTTCTACATTCTTTTGGGCCAGTTAGTAGTATTTTCATTTTCAGATGATGATCAGGGACTTTATATTTCAACTGTAGGAAAATTCCCTATGTAAGAGAACCAAGGCAAGTGTCCTTCGGTAAATCTGTTCTCTGCAGGTGGCCCTCTGCTGCCTCAGTGAGTGCTCTGTGGTGTTCCTCTGTGATCCCAAGAAGGGGAGGGCACGGTGTGCATTTTAGACCATAGGATGTGCATCATCTCCAAGTGCCTGCTCTGCACCTCTTGTAGGCTGAGCAGTCCCAGCCTAGCCCAAAGTGATAGGTCTTCAAGAAAAGTTTGCGGCATGTCCTCTTCAACCTGGGTCTTAAGTAGTACAGTATTCTCCCTCTTTCTCAAGCAACTATTGATAGGTGATTGTTTCTTTCAACAATAAGAATGGAAATGCTACTTTGAGAGACTGAGAAATAAATTTTAAATAGAAAATAAATTATAAGGTAAATGTGTTGTCAGAGCAAAATTGATAATACTAAGTACTATGTTATATGCTTTGAAATTATAGACCCTTTTATAACAAAAATAAGAACTGACTGCTCTAAGGTGCCAGATTAACTCTGTGAACCAGTTGGTAGTAGCTTGTTGACATTAATGAAACCAACTAATTCTTTTGCCATAATCTAGTTTTCCTAAGCAGTTGCTTATCTTTTTCTATCCTAGCCTAAATTGTTTCATCATTGTGCTTCTAAAAATTAAACCTTTCAATTAGGCTTCCCTAAAAGATTGTTAATAGGTATTGTTTTCCATATGGTTCCACTTGTTTTTATGAAAGGCATATGCTTGTATGTACATAGGAAGATTTCTGGAAGAAAACACAATTAACAGTGGCTGCTTTTGGGCAGGAAGTTTAGGGGCCTTGATTGGAAGGGAGACATGCTTTTCATTATACTTTTATACAGCTTATTTTTATCATTTAGAATTTTTAATTTTACATACTGGTATATAAAAGAAAGTATATGCTCCCTGTAATCTTTCAGAAGTTCCAAAATGCCTCTTCTAATAAGAGAAAAATGGGTGAGCTGCACTCCATACTTCTTTGATGCTTCTTCCTTTTGTATATGTTCTATTGCTAAAACAGAGTGAATAGAAAGGATACTTTAAATGTAAAATTACTCCAACGTTGGTTCCATGAATAAAAATACCAATATATTGGTTCCATGTAATCAGAATACCAAGGTCCTATGTAACTTGAGCTTGGTAGTGAAGGAGAGCCTCTTTGAAGAAGCCACATTTAACCAGAAAGGGAAGAAGTTGCCTCCAGGCAAGGGCTTAATTTTTTCTGGCTGCATTGGAACAGTTACTCTCTATACATCTTTCAGAATGGGGCAGATTTAGGTTGAGGAAGTCTACATTGTGATTGTATCTAACTTTTACCTCCAATGGGTTCTTTCATTTCCCTTTGTCCATATTTCCCCAAAAGAATCAATGCTCACTCTTTGAGAAAATAAAAATAACCACAAAAATAACAAATACCTATATGTGTCAAAGAAATAAAATTCTATAATATTTTGGGGCTCACCAAAACATATCTTTCCCTCAGTCCTTCCTTTATACCTAGCTCTAGTTAAAATTTTAAGCAAGCAGGAAAAAATTCAACTGAGATTGGAAGGGCTCAAAACAATACATGCTCAGTTGTGAGTTTTTCTGGATCATTTTTCTTAGCACATGTCACTTAGACCTCAGGATTTCATAGTCTCCCTTGATAAGCAAGAAACATCCTTTTTTATCTCATTATTGGATGTTTTTATTGGGAAATACATTCAAGTGGATTTCAGGATCCTCTGCCTCTGGGAATGAACCAATAATAACATAACAGTTCAACTATTCCAAAGCATATCCTATGACAACCCCTAGATATTTAAATTATATCTCTGTAGTCTTTAATGGTGAATTACATTTCTGGGATAAAATACCAATACCAAACTCTATAAAAAGGAGCTTCCAGGTTTTGTGGGTTTTGTGTGTTTTTTTCCTTTATAGGGGTGATTCATCCCAGAAATGGTGTTTTGCCTTTACTTGCATCAGCATTAATAACCAGCAATCAGCAATGGTATAATTGCTAGCTTCATGAAAAATGAAAGAGTTTAAGGAAGTGTTTTTGTGAAGAGCCCACCAGTTATCCTATAACAAAAGTTTATGTAGAAATTCTGAGAAGACACCAACAAAGACTAGTTAGAGGAAGAGGAAGAAGAGACTACACGCAGGATTGGATTGAATACAAAAGTCCTTTTAGAAAAATATTCAGAAGAAAGGAAAATATATTAAAAGAATAAAGATAACTTCTGAAATTAAGTCAATATAGGGTCTTAGCCATAAAAATAGAATTTTAGAGAGCCTTTGTTACTCAATTTTCAAAATGCATAGGCTCTGATTTTGTATCTATGGGATACTGGTTTCCCACCCTCTTTCAATAGACTCCCATTAATGACCACATTGACCATGAAATTAAACCTCACATAATGTTTTAGAAATAGTAGAACAGAAATTCGAAGCTCAACTTAAGAGTTACTATGGCAATAGGTACTTTGCAAAGAAAAAAAGACAAATGTATCTAGTTAGTAGAATAGTGTTTCCTACTGAGTAAAGAAAGTTTAAATTCTGAGTCACTAGCAAAATTTGGAAAAGAAAGCAATATCATTTTTACTCTTGAAAATGCATCATCTATTCAGCAAAGACTTCCTTCCCTCTCTTAGGTAGCTGAACTAGTCTTCTCCTGGTGCAATACCCCAATTAGCAACTCCGGGGACTTCATGTTCTTTCTACTTGGCACAACCACTAGAGGGGGTCCATCCTTTCATACCAACAAAGATTTTAAATTGTCAACATGAAAAAACAGTTTTCCACAAATGCTACAAACAGATCACAATACCCACACTTTTCTCTGTATGATAAAGGCAAGTTTGAGCCTAAATAGAGACAGACCGCTTATGACACATGTACTGAAGCAGTCAGCTCCTTAAGCAACAGAAAAGGTAAGTTCCAAAAGGTTTTGAGTGTTAACCAGCTGACAAAGTCAGTACATCCTAAACCATTTCATTTTCCCAGTATTCTTCATAATCTCACATTCAAAACTTTGGCTGCTTGTCACGAGACAATAGAATCTTCCAATGCCACCAGCTGAAAATGACTTGCTATACTTATAGTTTAGCAAGAATTGATAAGAAATGACTGCCTTGCTTCCCTGTTAAGCTATCATCCAAGCCCCACACTTTTGCTCCTCTTTGAAACGTAGTTGTTATGACTATTACATATAAGATCAATGGCTTATCTCTTCTGTTATTATATTTATCACTTTCCAAACCTTTCCAGATTGCTGAGTCTTTAAAACATGAAAATAAGGAGAAGAAGTATACTCTGTGACTACAATGCTAACTGGAAAGTAGAATGAGTAATAAAATGTAGAAGTTTGGAAGATAATTAGAAGTATGTGTCCATGTATTCTATGCCAGCTCTGCCATTTCTTACTACTTTGTCTCCTTTTTTCAGCTGTTGGCTGGGCGCTGGCCTTTTGATCACAATGACTTTGGCATATTTCTATGCAAGCTGTTCCCCTTTTTGCAGAAGTCTTCAGTGGGGATCACAGTCCTCAATCTCTGTGCTCTCAGTGTTGACAGGTAATGTGGTTCTTTTCCTTTACTCTTTTGTTAGATTTAGAAAAGCATTTTTGTCATAAGAAGGGAAGTCAAGAAGCATCTAGAGTTGGTGCCTGGATAGTTGTTATTTCAAGAGAATTAAAATATTAACGTTTTTACTCTACCGTTTAGAATTGCTTTTCACATTTACTGATTATTAGCCATCTTTGGCTTAGGCAATTTGCATATAGAGCATTTTGTCAATTATCTTTATTTGGCAGCCTAATGGCAACAAAATTTTTAATTAAAAAGCATATTAAAAGGAATAGAGATTAAACAGCTCTTCTAGAAAACAAGCCTACTAAAAGTTTGCCTTCTGATTCAGTAAAATTCAGTAAGATTCCTATTTCTGGTATTGGTTTGCCTTACCCATACCATCCTCAGCACGCATGGAAAAAACATTAACTAAACATTCAATTACAAATTATCAGTTCTATATCAAGTCAAATGTTCTTGGTTTTTTGTTTTGTTTTTAAAGACAGAAAAATAATTCAAACATGTATAGGATGCCACCCCCCCCAAAAAAAAAATGTATACACATTTAACAGTTGCTAACTCAATTGATGTTTCTTTCTTTTCAGATTTAACTCATTGGAATTAATAATTATTCAAAGTGTGTACACATTTTTGGCAGACACCCTATATTTTACTAAGTTTTAGGTCAAGAATTTAAGCCATTTTAAAATTCCATTCCCAAAAAAATCTACTTTAATCCAGGAATTCTTTCCTGAGTAATAAACTCATCATTCTTTGTTTCATGGGTCCTTTTTTTAAAATTATTTTTACATTTTATTTGGTATTGACTCTAAGCTTTGGGACCTGCACGTAGGGAATCTATTTTGACATTTCTGTTTCAAAATGTTTCACATGAGAATGAATCATTCGCAGTTAGTTCCTGAAGATAAGGTACCTTTGCGTTGAGTCTTAATTTGGTTGCATTGCATTCTACTAAAAATATGAAAATCTTTATTATTTCTTTTACTAAACCAAGGAGTAAAAAAGGGGAAATTGGAACCTGTTACAAAACAATTTGCAACTTGGGAATCCATGCTATTAGTGTATGAGCTGAGATAAATTATGGCTCAGCAAGACTTTATATGATTTCTTTTATATATATACATATTTTTAATATATTTTATTGATTTTTTACAGAGAGGCAGAGAGATAGAGTTAGAAACATCAATGAAAGAGAGTCATCGATCAGCTGCCTCTTGCACACCCCCTACTGGGGGGTATGCCCGCAACCAAGGTATATGCCCTTGACTGGAATCGAACCCGGGACCCGTCAGTCCCCAAGCTGACACTCTATCCATTGAGCCAAACCGGTTTCGGCTATATATATATTTTTTTTAATATCAGTTATTTCTCATTTCAGAGTTGTTTGGGGGGGAGAGGGATAATGAGAGTAACTGTACATCCAGATTCTATACAGTTTCTTTATCATTTCATTGATTGTTCAATTAATACAGAATGCTATAGGATCAAAGAAAAGTTCTGTCAGCTTTTAAATGAGAAAGGTAAACAATAGATGTTTTTGACTTGTACAAAAGTTGATAAGTTTTCATTGTTCATTTCCATTCCAGACTTGTCTGGGTTTAACCTTTTAACTAATTCCTTCTCAAATCTAACTCTTATTTATTTGTATTTTACATCCATAGTCACTTAAGAAAAAGATAAAGTGGGAATGTCAGAAAAAGACTGAGGAAATTTAGAAAACTATTTTGATCCCTAATTCAGCTTTATCAGTGAAATAATTTTTAAATGCTAAGGTAGTATACTTCTAAAAGTATATTCCTATAAGTATATTTCTAAAATGAATAAATTTTCCCAGCAAAATATGAATAATCAACCATTGCCAATAATTAAAATACACATTCTTACATGCCATCAGTGACGGATTTTTAAACCTATTTAAAAAATATATATATATATATGGATTTTTAGAGAGAGAGAGACCTCAATTTGTTATTCCACTTATTTGTTATTCCAACATATTCATTTGCTGATTCTGACAGAGTATTCAAATCTAAACCTTCCTTCCTATATTGGGACAAAGTTCAAACCAACTGAGCTATCCAGCCAAGGCAGGTGGCAACTTTGAGTTTTGGGAGGAGAATTCAGTGCTGTTCTTTGAAGTTAGTAGTTGTATTTAAAGTGGAAGAGAATGGAGGTTAGAACAGTAAGAAGGTCTGGGTACAGTTTCAACTTCCAGTTAAAAGTTGCCTAGAGTAGGAGGCTGTAAAAAGATAAAACTCCTTTAACAACTCCTCCAGAATGATGTATAATTAAACAACTGGAAAAGTTGCAAATATCGATTAATAAGGCAACTTTGATAGGTCTCAAACTCAAAATTTGATGTCAATTCTTCATCCCATAATCCCATATAATAAAGATGTAATATGCAAATTGACCATCACTCCAACACAAGATAGCTGCCCCCATGTGGAAACAAGATGGCTGCCATAAGATGGCCAGCAGGGAAGGGAAGTTTGGAGGGACCAGGCCTGCAAGGGGTTGCAGTTGGAGGGGACCAGACCTGCAGAGGAGTTCAGTTAGGGGTGACTGGGCAGAGGAGGGCACTTGGGGGTGACCAGGCCTGCAGGGGAGGACAGTTGGGGGGGACCAGGCCTGCAAGGGAGGGCAGCTGGGAGGGACTAGGTCTGCAAGGGAGGGCAGTTGGGGGCAATCAGGCCTATAGAAGAGGACAGTTAGGGGTCAGCAGGCCAGCAGTTAAGGGTGACCAGGTCAGCAGGGGAGGGCAATTAGGGGCAATTAGGCTGGCAGGGGAGTGGGTAGGGAGTGATCAGGCTGGCAGGCAGAAGCGGTTAGGGGCAATCAGGCAGACAGAATAGTGGTTCAGAGCCAGCCATCCTGGATTATAAGAGCTATGTCCCAGATTGGAGAGAGGGTAGGCTGGGCTGAGGGACAACCCTCCTCTCCCCTTCCCCCGTCCCCCATGCATGAATTTTATGTGCAGGGCCTCTAGTTTCAAATGATTCCTCAGTGGGCTCTGTGATATTATCAAAGGTTCATACTAATTTAAGAAGCACAAAGGGGAGTTTCTAAAAACCTTCATTTTAGACATGAACTTAGTTTCTCCTTACTCTCCTGGTGCTATGGTTTTCCTTTGCTGGATGACAATAGTGAGGATGTGGAAGAAATGGCTGAGCCAGAAAGGAGAACATGGGGACTGAACAAAGTCCAATGCTGGCTGTAAGGAAACTTCAGATCTCATTTGGAGTTCTGTTCTCTATTTCACATAGTTATTCATTCTTTATCTTAATTCTAATGTCAAAACCAGGCAACTGGTTAATTTTGCTAGCTCATTTTTCTTTGATAACCAACTACCCAAGACAGTGGTTTAAAAGATCCAGAATTTTATTATTATTATACCACAGACAAGTCTTCTGATCCTTGCTACTTTGACTGTGGTCTCTTGGTGGATTTCTGCTGGCAGATGAGCATCTCTTGGGTGCAAGACTCACATGTCTGGCCTGTTGGCAAGAAAAACTGGAAGTCTAAGCTCAGCGGAGCCCATCTTCCTCTCCGTGTAGTTTAGGGCCCTTCAACACATTCTGCCCAGCAAGCTCAGGGCTACAAGGGGAACCTGTTGCTCTACTTAGAGGCCAGACCTACTAGTGGCAAAGCATCGTTTCAGCTGCATCCAACTTAAAGGGCTCAGTTGAAGTATCACAGTATTTGCCGCTATATTTTTGTTTTTATGTTTTCTAAAATCATTTTTAAGTTTGTTTTTACTGTTGATATTATGACAGATGTCCCCATCTTCCTCCCCTTTGCCCACCTCCACCCAGCCCCCAACTTCCTCCTTCCCTCTGGCCATCCCCACACTACTGTCTGTATCTATGGACAGCTATCTTTTAATCCACCACACTGTGCTTCTCTTTAAAATTCTCAATGCTAGTATTTTGCCTCCAAACCTTTCTGTGGCAATTGGGTTGTATATCGCATAAGACATAAATCATAAACAAACATTACAAATACATTCAGGTTTGCTGTTAATCAAAAATGTGCAGAGGTTAAGACAGAAGTGCCACTTTACCTCATGAAAGTGGGAAAATTGAAAGAAAAATAATAAATTCTAATATAGGCAAATTTTGATAGGCACTTGGTAGGAAGGTTTTTTAACATACTTCAGTTACCTTTCTATTTCTTTAATTCAATAATCCTACCCACTCAAGATAATTAATCCTGGAGCATCATTCAAAGGAAGAAAAAAATATTTGTAGGTGTGTTATTCACAATGTTCAAAAACTAGAACTATGAACATTAAAGAAAGATTTAAGTAAATTGCATCAGTATCTTATTATACAGGGTAGCTATTAAATTAATAAATGATAAGTCTCTGTAAAAACATGAGATTTTTTATAATCTAATGTAAATAAAGCTAAAATAAAATTATAACTGATTTTTATATTCAAACTATGCTTATTAGAATAGAAATGGACAAAAAATAAGAAGAAAAAGATTTCGTTGAAGTGTTGTCTTTTGAATTAGTTTTTTATACTGTTTAAAAATACATTCAATAGTAAACTTTTAAAAATTTAATGACCATACTAGACCATACTGTAAAGATTCAAAATATGAATTAAACATCTCTGGCCTTGATAAAAAATCTATCAAGGGGCAAAAGTATAAACACAGAGTTTATTCTTGTATCATTATTTATTGACTAGAGGCCTGGTGCATGAAATTTGTGCACAGGGGCAGGTACCCTCAGCCCAGCCTGTACCCTCTCTAATCCCCAGGATCAGGCCTAAACAGGACCCCCCAGGATCAGGCCTAAACCGGCATTCAGACATCTCTCTTAGAGTGCTGGCTCCTAATCGCTCACCTGCCTGCCTCCTTGTTCACCCCTTACTGCCTCCCCTGCTGGCCTGATTGCCCCTCTCTGCCTCTGCATGCCAGCATAATCATCCCTAACTGCCACCCCTTCCACCCCCCCTTGCTGGCTAGGATCCAGCTACCTGGATCTTTCTCTGGTGTTCTCTGAAGCTGGTCACTGGATTGAAGTGGAGAGGGGGGGAGGTCTTTGAGACTTGAGAAGATGGGGCTAGTGGATCTTCCATGAAAAAGAGGTGCAAGTCAGGCTTCAGGGAAGGTGGGGGGAGTATCCCCCCCCCACCAGAGCCACTCAACTCAGTTACTGACACCCCTTAGTCTGCGCAGACCTCTACAACCCAGCCCAGGCAGCTGACTCCTCAGCAGGGCACAAGCTCCCAAGGTGGTGCAACAGGGAGTCCAGAGTGTGAGGCAATCGCATTCCCTCAGGCTAATGTATATGGAAGGGAGTGTTCCATCCTGGGGTAGGGAGAGGGACTCAGTACAGAGATACTGGCAGCTGTCCCTTTAGCTCTCTCTCAGAGCCACAAAGCCTAGTCTCTTCTCACGTGGTTCTAGTCCAATCTGCTCTCCCTCTGCTGGAGCCCAGGTGAGTGGCTGTGAATGAGATTTTGTGCCTTGGCCCTTTAATGAGATTTTGTGCCTCTGTCCCTAGCAGACTCTCTTGGTCCCCTAACAGACAGAATCCCCACTGATTTTCACAGCCATGTCTTCCTAGCTCTGGTGCTCTGATCTGGGAAGCCTGGCTTGGGGTTGAGATCCCACACTTCTCAGGAGGAATCTTTTCAGCTGAGATACCCCTCCAAAATCTTAGCTGCCTCATGGTGGAGTGGGGCTATCCCTTTCCCCAGTTCCACCCTTCTGCAAATCCTTGGTTATAAGACTTCTCTAAGCTAGCCTTCAATTGGTTATTCAGGTTGGTTGCTCTACCCTTTAGTTGTAATTCCAGTCTGGTCCTGGGCGGAGGTGAGTGTAACATCCACCTATTCTCCTGCTATCTTGGATCCAAGCATTTCTTATTTTCCACAACTTTCCCACCTCCATCATCACAATTGTTTCTAATTGCTCTTACGGTTTTCTCATTTCATAGAGATTTTATCAAGACAACTATGATGACAAATGGTAAATATTCTAGTTCTCAGTCATGTGTGTTAATGAAGGAGCAGACTGATTATGAATAATTTACTAAGCTAGACACTAAAAATTACTTCTATTTGTTTTTAAATACTTAATTTACATTGGATTATAGACATTCATATTCTGGGAACTCATGTCACATTATAAAATGAAGATGGTCTTTGAATATATTCATTATAAAAACATGTTTATTACATTTAAATCACCTTCTATCTCCAATCCTGCCTAAGATATCTGGTTTTCTTACTCCCTTAAGAGATAAAGTATTTTATTTAAATCACCTTTCTTGATAACAGATCTGAGAGAAGAAATAGTATAACTTATTGAGAGCCTCGGGATATAGACATTCAGTCTCCATTTCTTTTTTACTGAACTTCAGGCTACCAGTCTAATAAGGCAACAAAGAAAAGTAAACAGAAATGGGTAGCAAAATAAATAGCAGTCTTTATCTTACTGGAAATAACCATAAATTTAAAAATGCAATCTTGGCCATATCGTAAAAGGATTTTCTTGGTCTCTTTGCAGAGCTGTATTTTATTCCATTCTGAACTCATCTGGACTTTTTTAGAGATTGTACTGCACACCAAACTATTTACCCTAAGATTTTTTTGCAAAATATTTCTCCAGAAAATTGTGCTATATATATCCCGTGTGGCATCATTGTGCATACCAAAACTATAGACTCTAATATAAAGTGAAGAACAAGATAGCATAATTCCAAGAAGCTGTGTTCTTACAGAAGTACCTTAAAGATATACTGAGACAGAACACTGAATATAAGTGATGGGACTCATCTTGGTAGATATGGGTTGCTTGTAAGTTGCCTGGCTTTACTAACCTTCCACATTAAGTCACATATCCTGCAAGCCCATGTGTACCTGTCTCCAATGCCTTCATCTGTTTTATAGACTTCTGGCTCTATCTCATGAAGCTATAAAAAGGAGAATGTTTCCTTTCCATTACAACAGCAACAAAAATTTCAAGAATGAAGCCACAAAAATACCATACTACATCACAGGTCATTTCTTAGTACTAAGTCTGAAAGTAGTTAGCATCAGACCATCACATCAGATCAAAGATCATAGAGTTTCTGAAACCAATCTTTCTTTAAACTAACATTTAAATGTGATTATTATCACAGAAGTATTAAAGTAAAAAAAAAAAGATAAATACAATTTACTAATGCCAATTTGTTTTTTAATTGACATAATTGTTTAGTTACATTTATATTCTATGCTTCTATAAAAACCACTCTTTTCTATAAGACTATGAATCCTAAAGATTAAAAATCAATGAATCTTTAAGCCATTTTTATATATTCTAGCTCAGGACCATAATGGAAATGATATAGTCATTCTTTGATATTTACCAGAAATACTCTCTATTTACTTAAACTGCCACCTGGTAGAGGTCCACTGTAATCATATTTTGAGGGTAGAAGAAAAGAAAAAATGATGGACTATCTATGGCCACTATTCACTTAAGGATATCTAGCTACACTTCATAGATAAGGTTTTTTGTTTTTGTTTTTGTTTTTGTTTTTGTTTTTGTTTTTTATTGATTATGGTCTCACATAATTGTCCTTATTCCCCCATTCCCAATAGATAAGTTTTTAAATGTTGTTATTTTGTCATATATAAAGAGGAGTATGATGTTACCATTACAAGTACCAGCAGCTTTCACTACCTCTTCTATCATCTAATTTCCCCCCTCTACCTCTCCTCACTTAAGAAACATAGACACACTGTCTGGGCTGGTGTGGTTCAGTTGGTTGGAGTGTCATCCATGCTCCGAAAGGTTGAGGTTTGGATTTCCAGTAAGGCAAGTTGTGGGTTTCATCCCTCGTCAGATGATGCAAATGGAAAGTAAATGATTGATGTTTCCCTTACACATTGTTTCTCTCTTCCTCCCTCTCTCTCTAAAATCAATAAAAACTCATCCTTGGATGAGGAATTAAAAAGAAACAACCATAGATACTCCTATCTGATGTTGCCACATTTTATATTCTCACAAGATTATGCTAGATGCCAGATGAAGAGTTCAGACTCAGACCTGCCAGGCAATTGATTTCCAAATTGGTGGAACTTTTAACGGTCCCACTTGTTTTTCACCCAAGAACTCCTAAGAAAGTTCCTAAAAAGCCAATGGTTGGTCACTGTCCAAGGGAAGGAGCCTGCCAGCATTTATAATTTTTTTTTAATTTAAGTAATTCATAATTTTCTAACATCTTGGTTCCATCTCTCCATTTTTATTTTCAGGTACAGAGCTGTTGCTTCCTGGAGTCGTGTTCAGGGAATTGGGATTCCCTTGGTCACTGCCATTGAGATTGTCTCCATCTGGATCCTTTCTTTTATCCTGGCCATCCCTGAAGCAATTGGCTTTGTCATGGTGCCCTTTGAATACAAGGGTGAACAGCATAAAACCTGTATGCTCAATGCCACATCACGGTTCATGGAGGTACAAATAGTTTAAAGGGAATTAACTGGGGAGAGGAGGTGGTCTTCACTTTTACTTTACCATCATCACAACTTGTTGATACCTTTGCGGTGCCCAGTGTTCAGTCAAATATTTTTTAGTTGCATAAAAAGTAGATGTTAAACCAGGGCTTAGTTTCCTGAATAGAACATTTATTTTGTTTTTTCTTTTATAGCACAACTGTTGATACAACTTTTGTTCTGTACCAAAAAGCTCAGGACTCTGAAATGCATTTATTAGAAAAGAGAGATTATATGTATAAAGTGCTACTTGTTTTTATAATGAGGAATACAATACAGCACAACTTCCATCTGACAGACATGCTGATACTTATTTTTGGTTACTCATGGAAATATATGTTGCTCACACATTTTTTAAAGATAGATTTACTAACTCAAAGTAGGTAGGAAGTTATACTTACATGTACAAATAATATAAATTTGCAGAACTTTTTAAAAAGTGTTCCATTTAACAAATTCAGTTGTTGTTGTTTAGTATACCTGGTCACATTAATATTTCTCTGAAAAACCTAATCACATGTGTGCATCAGGAAACATACTTACAATGCATATTACCTTTGCAAAACTAGTCAAAGGTGAACTGAGGATGAAAACCAAAAGGATAACTATTTCACTGAAATCAGCATAATTTAGAGCTTTGATGTAAATTTCATGCAGCTCAGATTCCACATTTAATCACTTTCAGACATCTCAAGGTATGTTTTCCTAACTTGGAAAATTCACAAAATTAGTGGTTTTACAGTTGACCAGTTTTCCTACTTGGACATTCTTGTTTTAAAATTAAAAGTATTCATGAAAGCTGCCAAATTGGCAACCTTAAAATTAAGGTCTGTTTATCTACTGACTTTTTTATTAAGTCAAATCTCCACAGTGGAAACAAAGCAGTCTGTAGGAGGTTATCAGAATTTGGGCAGTGTAAATAAGCAATCTAAATTTTCCTGAATAAAATGTTAAGAGAGAAGAGGCTCAACATAAGGAACTTACTAATCACTAGAACTGGACAAAATGAAAAGAAATACTGAGTCTCCTTTATAAAATGGTCAAGCAAGGTTTTTCCTTCAGGCAAGAAAATGGTATGAGTATGAAGTGATATTTTTTTTTCAATTTGAGATTCTCTTTCTCCTCTTGTTTTTTGTTTATTATTTTTTTCAATTTGAGATTCTCTTTCTCCTCTTGTTTTTTGTTTATTATTTTTTTCTCCAATTTTATTCTTATTCTTTGTTCCATACTTTCTCCTACACTTTGCTCTAACAAACTAGAGGGAGCCCCCCACCCCCACCCCATGCCCTTGCTGATGACATCAGTTCAAACGGAATTTGTGACCCCTTTCTCTAAAGGCCTCTGCCATGGAGGGGGCAGGGTACTCTGTCCAAGCCCCTTAGGGGGGTCATCTTTCAGGCTGCATTTGGGCATTTACACCAGCCAGCAATGCACCTGGAAGAAGGGGATACAAACTGAAGAGGGTACTTAAAGGAGTGTTTGTATTGTACTTAAAGGAAAGTTCTGATTTTTTTTTCTATTTGCTTTTTAAGCTCACTAGAGAAATCTTTCTACAGTGTGACGTGAATAGGGAAAGATCTGCATAAAATGGGAGTTTGACTTAACCTGAAGTTAAAATCCAGAGGTCTGTTCACTTGAATGAGAAAGAAATGACATGTTGATTTTCCTAATAGCTAAAATTTATCACTTCTTTCTATTATGAATATAGGCAACAAAATACAATAGTATTTAACAGAAATAAAAATAGTATTTTTTCACTAATAGAAATAATATATTTTCATACAATATAACATTTGTGTAATCTTGCAATATCATTTATAGTCGTCATTGCTTCAACATTCTGATAGTTATTAGAACTACCACTGGATTTGTCATTAAATTTGTTAATAAACACCTATATTACTATATCAAATTCTTATTTTTAATGTTTTGATACTGTTTCTGTGTAATTAGTTTCCATTATAATCATACATATTTCAATCTTATACATGTGAAGATAGTATTCCCAGAAAGGATTATAGTCTTCCCCAGACTTCCAAGAAGGTCTATGGCATAAAAATAGTTAGGAACCTCTGCCCAGAACTTTTTTTCCTCAGGAACCATTTATAGATTATTTTAATAAACATGCTATAAATGTATCCCACTGTGACTCTTTCTATATTCAGAAGTTGTCTAGTTTTTCACAGAGCAACATGATTAATTTTTACTGTGAGAACTGAGATATTATAGGAGGCTGCATTATCCATAGTAAATAAACAATCTGAGGAGACAGAATAAGGAAAAGAAAAGCATTTCTTCCCGAATTGATAATTAATTTAGTGGGAAGAAGAATGTATATATAATTTTCCAATTTCCATTTTTATAGGGTATTAAATTTTATTCTTTAAAAAGACATAAAAAGTGAGTAATCCTGACTACAGGGAGATCATGCCAAATATGCCTTCAGATAAGGTACTCTGTCTTGATAGTTTCCAGGTGGTAAGTATTAAAAAGAGTGAGAAGGGTCGTGATTATTTATGGCTCAAACTGGCTAGCTAAGAGGTCACATAGCAGGCATACCAGGCAAAGGGTTAACTCCTGGTAACCAAAGCTACACAGATAAGCCATTCATAACCTGCCCTGTTTCCAAACAAGATATTCACATTAAGTACACTTTGACCGTAATAGCCAAAAGTAAACCAGACATTAGCAACATTTTGAGGCTTACTAATAAAGATAAATATATATTCTGTATATCTCAGAATTGTTTTTGTGAGCTTTGGAAAGGAATTCTTTTTATTGATCAGGGCTCTTCCCTTGTACAATTAAAACCAACTTCAGCTTATAAAATGTATCTTTTAATGCAGCTTATTCATGTGCTATTTTATAAAGCCAGGATAACTTCCAGAATTGCCAATTTAATTGGGTTTTGATAACCATCCCCAAGCTCATTGCCACAATAAGAGAAAATGAATATACAAATGTATCTGCAAACGTGAAGATTTTTAAGGACCCAGAGGCACTACACAGTTAATTCACGTTATACAGCGCCCTCCTTCTCTCTTTTCTTCATTTACAGTTCTACCAAGATGTGAAGGACTGGTGGCTGTTTGGCTTCTACTTCTGCATGCCCTTGGTGTGCACCGCAATCTTCTATACCCTCATGACTTGTGAGATGTTAAACAGAAGGAATGGAAGCTTGAGAATTGCCCTCAGTGAACATCTTAAACAGGTAAATGTAATATGATTATGAAAACCTGGCCAAGACTATATTGTCCTTCACAACAAAAGGCCTACAATTACTGTACTTCAAGATTTAGCCTGCTTTCCTGAAAATAAAAATACTGTCTTATTTGTTTTGTATGTCTTGTTTTCTTTTAGTTATGGTACTGTATTAGGTATTTCTTTTGTGAAATAGGGAGCCTACCTGGTTACTGGGCCCAAATGGAGGAACTATTTATTGGTTTTGCAAGAGTGTATTGACCATATGTATTTGTGTGTGTATCCATTGAATTTGGCTTGGAACTGTGCCAAGACAAAAAAAGTGCATATTACTGTCTCCCCTAGCAGGCTTTTCAATATTGTTGTGGAAACAAATTACAAACCTGGAAAATAGAATCACAAGGTATGGCAAAAGTAGCCTATGCTATAGAAATCCAGTTTGTCACAGAAAAACTGTTCATGGATGAGGGGGGTTGAATTGTTCATGGAAGATAAATGGGTTTGATTGGATAGAAGAAACCAGCAGGTACTTCAGGTGGGAAAATAGGGGGCTAGTTATAATATGGCACAGAAACCACCCATTTGGGGAGTGAGAAAGGAGATGAACCTCATTAGAGCAACATCAACAACATCAAAGATGAGACTCTTGACAAGAAATGTGATCCTATATATTTGAAGAGGTCAAATTTTGGAGCGACCAAAGTTTTAGAATGAATTTGAATGTCAGTAGGAGGCTGTTGTTAGTCCCTCCAGGGCAACAAGTAGAACAGAGCTTTAGCAGGGGAAACTTGTGTCTTACACTTACTTGCTGGCTCTGTGGCATTGGGGAAATTGCTTAATCTCTCTGAGCTTCTAGTTCCTCTTAAAAATATATAATAAGACATCAAGGTGTTACCTAATGCATGTAGGGTGTCTAATAGAATCCAATTCATAGTAAGTACTCAGAAAAAGTTCATAGGTATTTATTCGAAGAGTAAAACCAGGACTGTAAGTAAGTTCTGAGTCCCAGCAGAGGACACCCTACCACAGCAAAATTTAATGTGAGTTTCATATGGAGCCTGTAAATCCACCCTATATAATTACAATACACAAGCATCATTCTTCAACAGCAGCTCTTTCAACTACTTTACTAATTTTTCTGAGCTTCAGCTCTTTATCTGTAAATTGGGCATAATAGCATATAAATCAATGTTATTATAGGAATCAAAGGAAATAATATGCATACACATACTTTATAAAAAATCTAACATGCCATACAAATGGTAGCTATTACCTCCTATTGAAATTTAATAGGAAAATTATATTGAGAAACTTTAGGATGATTGTTCAAGCATGAAAATTTCAAGTACTCCTGATGTGAAACATATTAAGCAATTATTACCTCTCACTCCTGCAAGGGAAATAATTAATTACAATAGATTTGTGAAAAACAGTGTTTTAAATGTTGATTTTTTTAATAGCACCATGATTGAACCTGTTTAAGCTATAAGTGGCATTTGCTCTGAAAATAATTCAATAGGGGTTGGAAACAATAATAATATGATGATGCTTCACATTTACATAGCATTTTTAATTTTGTAGAGCATTTCCATGTTATCTTCTTATTTGATTCATCCAAGCATATGTGGGATAGGCAAGGCAGGCATTATCCTTATTATACAGGTGATTAGGAGAGTGGCTCAACCAAATGGAAATTAGAATCCAAAACTTGGTCCTCATGCAGCGTAGACATTCCTTTGTGTCCCACTCTAAGTTGTAGCAGGTTCTAAGAGTAGAAGAGCAAGCCTGGCTGGAAGGCCTTCAAGTGGGACAATGGGGAAACTAGCTCAGAGTGAAAAGCCCTGCCAGCCTTCGACTGCTACCTATTGTGCTCTTGGTCTTGCTTCTTGTATGTTTCTCAAGTTTCTCTTCATTATGCTGACAACGATTTTATAAGTTAGGAATTGTGTTTGGATGCTGGTAGCAAAAACAAAATAACACTGAGTAGACCAAGGAGGGATTTATCTTTCTCCCACAGTAAAAAGTTCAGATGTCATTGATTCAGTGGTAAAGAGACTCATAGGCAGGTTGTCTGCTATTTTGCTAACCTTTCATTATCACAACAACTACAGCTCTACCCTTATATCTGATTTCCAGGCAGAAAAAAAGGGGAAGAACATAGATCGTATGAGCATCACAGAAGTATTCCCCACTTTTAAGCAGTTTTACAGAAACCTCACACAATTTTTACTTAATCTAATTGGTCAGAACTATCAGGTAGCCATGCAGATGGTTAGGCCAGGCTCCTACATTACTATGACAAAACCAAGAATCTGATTGATAGCAGGGAAAGTAGGAGAATGAATATTAGGTAAGCAAATAACAGACTATTATATAATGGCAATGTATTAATATTATCTTTTAAAATAATTATCCTCTTTGATGATATGCTCAGAGGAGATAACCTCTCCTCTAATACCCTACTTTTTTATTTTTGGGGAACACTGTCTTTCTGTGTACACAAAATGATCCTTTAAAATAATCTCCCATTCTTGCAGATTGGAATTCTTTATTTCTCTCAATCATTACTCATTTTATGTGTTCTCTGAAGTATATCCCAGCTAGCCCAATAGCTCCAAAAAGATTCAAGAACTCTGTTCTTTGAGTTAGAGTAGCAATTTGTGAAAACTGCCCCCCAAATCTTTTTAAACAACTCTATTAATCATGTGGGTTGGCTTAGGCTTTCTATACTTAATGCTATATGCTCTTAGTTGAACCAGCATTACCCTTCCAAACCCTGTTTTCAATCAGTTTTATTTTGACATTAACTGATCCCAGTTACAGACAAGTTACATTTTATGTTCCTAGTTAGCCTTCTAAATGCATGCACTATAATACTCAAGCATAATGCACACAAAGAACTGGTTGCTGATAATCTCTAACCTGTGATTTTTCTGATCCTGTGCAGACTTGAAAGTATGTAAACCTTCAACTAAAGTCACTCCAGGGTCAGCACATCCTAGGTTTTCTCATCATCATTGCTGATAATCCTTTACCCTCACCCCTATGTTTGCAAACAATAAGTCTTTTGGAAACATGTCATTAATAAAATATTTTAAAAGCAAAAATATCCCAATGCTAGCTTTCTTAAGGATCAAGAAGTGGAAAAAAACATATTGCTGTGTTGATGATTTTTGTTGTTTTTTAAATATACTTTATTTTAGAGAGGAAGGGAGAAGGAGAGACCGATAGAAACATCAATGATAACAGAGAATCATTGATCCTCTGACTCCTACACAATCCCTACTGGGGACTGAGTCTGCAACCCAGGCATGTGCGTTGACCGAGAATCAAACCATGACTTCCTGGTTCATAGGTTGACACTCAACCACTGAGCAACACCAGCCAGGCTTCTGTTCTTTTTCTTTTCTAATTTCTATGCCTATTTTGTTTTTCAAACATCTTTTCAGGTTTGTCCATTCTTTAACATGGTGAGTTCAGTCACTTTGACTGTTATGCTGTAATTAATGCTAGTTAGTTACCTGTTATTAATGCTTTTAGATAATGCTTTCCCCCATATATTTGCCACATGTGCATGTGTACGTGCGCGTACACACACACACACACACACACACACACAAACACACGTATGCAGGCACACCCACAGTGTTGGCTCTACTCCAGCCAGTTCCTATCTCTCCCTGCCATAGAACCTCTGCCCTGGTCCTAATAACCAACCTGAAGCCACTGTCCTTCATGGCAGTTGCCCAAAAGAATCAGTAGCAAATCCTTAATGAAGTTGGACTCTAAATCTTAAAGAGGTGGAGGTTATGTGAGACATAGTGTTCTGGCTCCTCTTTGAGCTATTCTTTCTCTGCTCTCAACTACTTCCTTGTTATATGGTTCTTTTATCTAGCTGGAAAACAATGAATTTACTATACTTTTTTTTTTTCTCACTTTCCTTTAGCGTCGAGAAGTGGCAAAAACAGTTTTCTGCTTGGTTGTAATTTTTGCTCTTTGCTGGTTTCCTCTTCATTTAAGCCGTATTTTGAAGAAAACCGTGTATAATGAGATGGACAAGAACCGATGTGAATTACTTAGGTATGATCCTATTAGGAAATTGGAGTTTCTCTGATTTTCACATTTATGATACTTTTATAAAACCATCTAGTCTACATTCTCGTTAGCCCTGAAAAATTAAAACTGCAAAGTTGATTATTTCCTCTTTAGCTGACATAACTCATAACTGATCCCAAAATTTGTGCAATCCATGTCTATAATCTTGCTGCTCCCCTCCTGAGGCTGTGCATAATAATTTGAGCTAACCAAGTGGCAAGTAAATGTTTTGCAGAACTAAGAGTGCCATTTAAACAAGGACTTTTAAAAAATTCTGACTGCTACCTGTGAGAAATGGCTTCTGGGCACGAAAAATGCTTATTCTAGGGATAAATGCTAGTTTGCAGTTTTAAAAACATTATGTGCTAATTATTCCATTATTTTTCCTTTGCTCTAGTTTCTTGCTGCTCATGGATTACATTGGCATTAACTTGGCAACTATGAATTCATGTATAAACCCAATAGCTCTATATTTTGTGAGCAAGAAATTTAAAAATTGTTTTCAGGTAAGACTGTTTTGCAAGTATTTTTAAGGAAAATCAAATAAGTATATTAACTAGCCAAGAGGCATGGCTAATTCCCAATTATAAATATTACTTTCATCAGCTATACTTTTCAGTAGATAAATGAAAATCCTATTTTAACCAGAAAGATGGTTACATTGTCAGCATTAAAAAAAAAAAAGCAACCCCCAGCCTGGGCTGAACCCCCGAACCGGCAGCGCTGAGCCCCCCCCCCCCCCAACCGGCAGCGCTGAGCCCCAGTTATGGGCCAGACCCTGGGGACCCAGGCTCCGGCGGGAGGAGACAGGGCCGTGAGGCGGAAAAACGGCGAAAGGCAGGGCCCCGGGAGTCGCGCGCAATGCGCGCAGAGGACTGAATGTTGACTCTGATGCTGGGTTGCCCTAGCCGGAAGAAACAAGGCCTCCGGCGGCGCTGAGCCTCAGTCCGGACTGCTCCGAACCCCAGTTCTGGGCCAATCCCTGGGGACCCAGGCTCAGGCAGAGGGAGACGGGGCTGTGAGGTGGAGTCCTGGGAGAGCAGCGAAAGGCCGGGCGCCCGGGACTCGCGCAAACTGCGCACAGAGGACAGTCTGTGGGACTCGCGCAAACTGCGCGCAGAGGACAGTCTGTTGACACTGATGCTGGACTTCCCTAGCAGGAAGGAGAAAAAAAAAAGCTCTAGGCTGGGGGAACGCAGAGGGGAGCGGAAGCCCCTGCCGGACTCCAGCCAACCTGGCACCAGTAAGGAGGCGGGCCACGGGGCCCCTGGGGGCGTGGGTGCCCCTGAGCCTTTGACCACTGAGCTCGGGCAATGGAGCCAAGGTGGGGGGCTGCTTCCTGGGCGGCGCCGTCCCGCCAACAGGCTGAAGCAGCACAGGAGCCCGCAGAGAACAAAGGGGTGCCACAGGCCAACCTGCTGAGCTCCCAGGACAAGGAGGAAGAAACCAAAGAAGTTCTCAATGTGAAGAAATCAAGTGAGAGCAAAAAATAGTAAAATTACTTAAGAAAGAATACAAAGAAGATCTTGAAAAATCAAAGACTAAGTCAGAACTCAACTCACCAGCCAACATTGCAACATAAATGCGTTTTAAAAAGAAAAAAAAAAGGACAGAATGTTGGAACAGCGACGGCCAGGCCTAGAGTGGCCAGGCACAAGGCAGTGGCAGCCAGACCTGGAGCAGCAACGGCCAGGCCCCAGAACAACAGCAGCCAGAACCAGAGCATCAACAGCCAGCACTGGAGTAGCCAGACCTGGGGCAGTGGCAGCCAGGCATGAGGCGGAGGCGGCCAAGCCCAGGGTGGCCAGTCCAGGAACACCCAGACCCGGAGTGGCCGGGCCCGAAGAAGCCGGGCCCAGAGCAGCCAGGGTGGGAGCAGCCAGACCCAGAACAGCAGTAGCCAAGCCCAGAGCATCCAGGTCGGGAGTGGCCAGGCTCGGAGCGGCCGGGCCCGGGGCAGCCGGGCCCAGAGCAGCCGGGTCAGGTGCGGCCAGGCCCGGAGCAGCAGCTGCCAGGCTGGGAGCGGCCAGGCCCGGGGTAGCAGGCGGGTCGGGTGCGGCCAGGCCCGGAGCAGCGGCTGCCAGGCTGGGAGCGGCCAGGCCCGGGGGAGCAGGCGGGGCTGGTGCGGCCAGGCCCGGAGCAGCGGCTGCCAGGCTGGGAGCGGCCAGGCCCGGGGGAGCAGGCGGGGCTGGTGCGGCCAGGCCCGGAGCAGCGGCTGCCAGGCTGGGAGCGGCCAGGCCCGGGGGAGCAGGCGGGTCGGGTGCGGCCAGGCCCGGAGCAGCGGCTGCCAGGCTGGGAGCGGCCAGGCCCGGGGGAGCAGGCGGGTCGGGTGCGGCCAGGCCCGGAGCAGCGGCTGCCAGGCTGGGAGCGGCCAGGCCCGGGGGAGCAGGCGGGGCGGGTGCGGCCAGGCCCGGAGCAGCGGCTGCCAGGCTGGGAGCGGCCAGGCCCGGGGGAGCAGGCGGGTCGGGTGCGGCCAGGCCCGGAGCAGCGGCTGCCAGGCTGGGAGCGGCCAGGCCCGGGGGAGCAGGCGGGGCGGGTGCGGCCAGGCCCGGAGCAGCGGCTGCCAGGCTGGGAGCGGCCAGGCCCGGGGGAGCAGGCGGGTCGGGTGCGGCCAGGCCCGGAGCAGCGGCTGCCAGGCTGGGAGCGGCCAGGCCCGGGGGAGCAGGCGGGTCGGGTGCGGCCAGGCCCGGAGCAGCGGCTGCCAGGCTGGGAGCGGCCAGGCCCGGGGGAGCAGGCGGGTCGGGTGCGGCCAGGCCCGGAGCAGCGGCTGCCAGGCTGGGAGCGGCCAGGCCCGGGGGAGCAGGCGGGGCTGGTGCGGCCAGGCCCGGAGCAGCGGCTGCCAGGCTGGGAGCGGCCAGGCCCGGGGGAGCAGGCGGGTCGGGTGCGGCCAGGCCCGGAGCAGCGGCTGCCAGGCTGGGAGCGGCCAGGCCCGGGGGAGCAGGCGGGGCTGGTGCGGCCAGGCCCGGAGCAGCGGCTGCCAGGCTGGGAGCGGCCAGGCCCGGGGGAGCAGGCGGGTCGGGTGCGGCCAGGCCCGGAGCAGCGGCTGCCAGGCTGGGAGCGGCCAGGCCCGGGGGAGCAGGCGGGTCGGGTGCGGCCAGGCCCGGAGCAGCGGCTGCCAGGCTGGGAGCGGCCAGGCCCGGGGGAGCAGGCGGGGCTGGTGCGGCCAGGCCCGGAGCAGCGGCTGCCAGGCTGGGAGCGGCCAGGCCCGGGGGAGCAGGCGGGTCGGGTGCGGCCAGGCCCGGAGCAGCGGCTGCCAGGCTGGGAGCGGCCAGGCCCGGGGGAGCAGGCGGGGCTGGTGCGGCCAGGCCCGGAGCAGCGGCTGCCAGGCTGGGAGCGGCCAGGCCCGGGGGAGCAGGCGGGGCTGGTGCGGCCAGGCCCGGAGCAGCGGCTGCCGGGCTGGGAGCGGCCAGGCCCGGGGGAGCAGGCAGGTCGGGTGCGGCCAGGCCCGGAGCAGCGGCTGCCAGGCTGGGAGCGGCCAGGCCCGGAGCAGCAGCAGCCAAGTCCAGAGCAACTAGGTCGGGAGCGGCAGTGACCAGACCCGGAGCAGCTGGTTGTGGAATGAACCAGAGCAACAGAGGCCAGGCCCTGAGCAGCCAGGCCCGGAACAGCTCGCTCCTTGCCTGCCCCTGCCCCACGGCTGCTTCTCAGACATGGCTGGAAACTTTCGTGGGAACTTGAGGGTCTGCTGAATCAAGTGATGAAGGCTTAGATCTGGATGTGTTGAGTTAGTTTAGGACTGGGGTGTTGATCTGTGAGTGCCTTGGGTGGGGCCTGGATGAGGCTGGTTGACCTAGTGGGAAATGTCTTTTGTGTGAAGTGTATCATTGGGCATGTGGAGGTATTATTGATATGAGAAAATGCTAAGTAACTGATTTACTATCTGAAAAGGGATTTACTATTGGGGAAATTGAGGGAAGAAGAGACTGAACATAAACTGCACCTATGGATGAGGACAATGGGGGATGGGGGGGGGACGGAGGGTGGGGTGGGAACCTGGTGGAGGGGGGAAGAAATGAGGAACCTTTGTAATAATATGAACAATAAAGATTGATTTAAAAAAAAAAAAAAAAAAAAAAAAAAAAAAAAAAAAAGCATATCTATTCAGACAACAACATATTAAAAGGTTATAATTAAAAATAATTAACTTAATTACATCTCAATTTAGTACCCTCCTTTAAGAAGAAAGGCTCAAATTTGAGCTGCAGGCCATAAAAAATACATAAATCCTATTCCTTATATTTTTTTAGATTTTAATACCAATCTCAGCAAAACATAAACTCTATTGTTAAAAAAGCTCTTTCTAAATGCTACTTAATAATATATTTAGTAATAGCCACTTCAAAACAAGTAAATACTTAATGCTTGGGAAATCTGAACTAATATAATCGCATTTGAAATCAGTTTCCTTGTGTTCTTCAAACCTTCTTGTAGATAAACCAACCCATGTCTTCCAGAAGTTCCAAGCACAGTTCCTGGAATGATTTTAGCAAAGAATTAATCCAAACTGAATTCTGTTATCTCTAGCCAGGATGTTAATTCATGGTACATTTTAGGAAGAGTAGCATAGAGAACAAGGGTGCAGGCTCAAGAAGCAAATAATCTTGATTTGCATCATAGCTCTGCACTTACTGACAAACGCAGGTCTGGATGGTGCCCTTCCTGTTTCCTTCGTTTACTGGTCTGTAAAATCAGACAATCACAATATCTATCTCATAAGTAGGATTCAGTGGGTTAATATATGTTAAGTGCTTGAAACAATAATAAGTGCTAAGTATGACTTTATTATTATTTGGGATAGAATGGACAGGAAAAAAAACACAGTGACTGCCCTCATGGAACTTACAATCTAAAAGGAGAAACTTGGTAGTTTCATACAACTTGATAGGAAAATAGCAACTACCACCTAGTGCTGTGAGCATCAGGTGAGAGGTGTGCAATGCAGAGAGCCACACCAGTGGTGCACAATGAAGAAATGCTAGGCCCCTCCTAGCCTCCCATTCTTGCCCACCCCAAGTCATAGAGTATTCTTCCTCTGGTCAAAACTGTTTCCCTCTTTGACTTAGAATTTAAACAAGAAGCAAGGGATATATTTCTTTGCACTAGAATGGACAATTTAGCTTCTACTTAGGGGTTACAGACTCCATACCCTAGGTTACTGTTAAGGTTCATATTCTGTCCTCAAATGTATGTGGACATTTACCCCTTGTTGGTAGGAACATAACACATGTCATGCCATTTAGCATCTGTTTCTTTTCCCAGTCTTGCCTCTGCTGCTGCTGTTACCAGTCCAAAAGTCTGATGACCTCAGTCCCCATGAATGGAACCAGCATCCAGTGGAAGAACCATGAACAAAACAACCACAACACAGAGAGGAGCAGCCACAAAGATAGTATAAACTAAACATATTAAGAAACATTAATCAGTATTCCTTCAAACCTTATTGGAGGGGAAAAAAAATCACTATGTCTCCAGAAGTCTCTTCTCCCATGACTCAGACCCACGCCTGGAAAATGCTTTCCAAAACATCAGAGAGTGGACTGGTTCATGCCCACAAATTCAATGAATCTTACTTCTTTAATTTATCTAATTTACATATTTTGTATGTTATATTCAACACTAAAAAATGGTAAGAGTTGGCAGGGGAAAGGGAGACCGTTAAATGAAACCAGAAAGATATTTACTACATTTGCATGAAAATCATTTTCACGAACATGACTAGCTTTCATGGCTGTTCTGTCAAATGGTTAATGAGAACTGGTCACCATGAAAGTTTGGAGGTTATAAAATAGGGATTTTTTTTAGTGGTTTTTTTATTTGTTTGTTTTGCAAACACAGTATGGGCATAAGTCACCTTAATTTTGAAATGTCATTCAGTGCCAGTATTTTTAACTGTATAGTAGCCTAAAAATAATATTTGAGTTCATTTTAAAAAAATTTAAAACAATTTAGTGAACAATTAGGTTAATGTTTCTCATGCCACTGTGGGGGCGGTGTTTAACATAAATTTTCAAGCTGCAACAAATACAAGACTAAAGCACAAACTGATAACCACACATGGCAGTTTAAAGCTGCTATTCAAATAATTTTTAAGGATCTATTTTTTTATGGTGTTTCATTACAGGAGATCCTGAACATTTTTTCATGTTAAATTTTAATAAAATAATGCTTGAATCAAATAATTCTATTTTTCATAAGCCCAATCTATTTTTAATGTATTTTATGTACAATCAATATCATATACCAAAATATAAAGGAACATGTTGTTTAACTGTACCCAAGACTTTCAGTTCAATTCATAGAAGTCTAAAGATATGTAAGAGAATAGAATTGAATAGTTTTAGAAGATTTGGAAATTTTCATTGCGGTTTTTTAGTAATAGTAACATATATGTATGTATATGCATATATATGTACATATATACATGTATGTGTGTATGTATATATAGCATACATATCACCTCATATTCTCTTTATTAGGTTTAAATGTTAACTGGCATTTAAAATAACTTTTTTGGTCATTCCCTTTTCCATATAGGAAACATAATTTCAAAGTGGCCTGCTGAGTTTATCATGTCAGTGAAATATAATAACCCCAAAGGCCACCATGAACTATGCTTCCTCACTTCTCTGGGTTTCCAGTGTGAGTTTAAACATCTCCCTGACTCCCACAACTCACATAGTCACCATTTAAAGGGCCCACAGTGACTTTTGCTGGGTATTTTCCAAGATGTTTACAGACTGTGAGTAGAGCAGAAAATTTTTTTCCATGTGTATATAAATATAAATATCTATATACAACTATGTACATATCTTGTAGCCAATTCTTCTGTTATTATCTCTATGGAATATATTTGTGTGTGTGATACATGCATGTGTATGATGTTATATATGGACGTATGTAATAATGATGCCCTGTAGCTGTGGCAAAGCACACACTTGGACTGGAATCTAGGTGGTTGTTTAACATGACAGTCGGCCTCAGTCAGTTTTAATCTGTGTTCATAAAGCATATGACTATGTTACCATTGCAAGTGGAATATGGGAGGCAGCATAAAAGGGGACAAGTCATGTGTTAACAATAGGGTTTTATTTGTTTGTTTGGTTGGCTGTTTGGTAAAACAGTATTTGGGATTGTTGGAGCAAAAGTCATTAAACAATGAGTAATTAAATTGTCTTAATCTCCAACTAACCTCAGTGATAAGGTTGACAAGTAATCTAATGTATATATCAGACTTCACCAAACATATTCCTGATGATAAATTAGCTAATAATTTGTTAGGCTATGTTTTAGCACCATCACATATAAAATGATATCGGGTTCCAATTGACCCCATTGCAGGGTTTCTTGATGTGTAAGCAGTCGATTCCATTATTTCACTGGTACATACCATGCACTGATATTTACCCATATTGTAAGCCATAAACTCACACCATTTTGTTTAAACAACTATCTTTTTGTTTAAGATGTTTTCTCTCTTACATATGAATAATACATCTTATAAGTTCAAAAGTCATAGCTTTCCTAATAACCACACAGGCTTCAATGGACATTTTGTTTATGGACTGGTAAGTAACTGTGGTTTACTAGTAGGAATATTTCCAGTTTCTACTTTTACCACATCTTTCCAAATAAAACTGTAGAAATGAGCCAAAAGCCAAGGCCCTGCATTGGCAGTGGCCTGTAAGTATAAAATAAAGTTTACAGAAGCCTTGCAAGTGTCTCTTCATTTTTACATAGTTCTTCAGAGAAAATGTTTGCTAGACAATGCCTATTGTAAATCTCTTCCTCATAACAGCCAGTCAAGCAATTTCACTTTCAAATGCATACTTCCTAACTGTGCTGCATTCTCAACCTATACTGTTGTGTTGAACACGTATCTCCTTCATTTCTTCATTCACTTTTCCAGTAAATTTTGCTGAGCATCTGCTATGCCCCAGGAATTTTTCTAGGAACTAAAATATAGCAGTGAACAAAACCAGCAAAGTTCCTGCTCCACTGGAGCTTGAATTCTACTGGAAGGAGTTGGACAATAAACAGTTACAGTCCATAAATAATATGTCAAATGATATCTAAAGGAATAGACTCATATGTATCCAACTGCTTATTTAACATCTCCAATTGGATGACTAACAGACCTACTATATCTAAAACTAAGCTCGTGATATACCTCTAACCTGCGCCACTATAATATCCCTCTGCTCATGTATTAGTCAGGATCCAACAGAGAAACAGAGCCAATATGTGTAAGAGAAGATTTATTATGGGAATTGGCTCATGTAATTATGGAGGCTGAGATAAGCTATCATCTGCCGTTTGCAAGTTAGAGAACAAGGAAAGCCAGTGATGTAATTTAGTCTTAGTCCAAAGGCCTGTAAAATAGAGAAGCCAATGGTGTAACTCCCAGTCTGAGGCCAAAAACCTGAGAAAGTTTAAACAGCCAGCTGATTTAAGTCCCAGAGTCCAAAGGCCCAAGAACCAGGAGTGCTGATGTCCAAGGGCAGTGGAAAAAAAAATGGATGTCCCAGTTCCAGAAGAGAGAGAGAGATTTCATCCTTCCTCTACTGTTTTTTCTCTTCAGGCCATCTACAGATGGATAATGCTAGCCCATGCTAATGAAAATACATCTAATTTCCTCTGTCTTCTCATTAAAATGCTAATCTTATCAGGAAATGCCCTCACAGACACACCCAGAAATAATGTCTTACCAGTTCACCCGGCATCCCTTAGCCCAGTCAAGTTGATACATAAAATTAACCATCACAGCTCACTTAAAGACAGCTCCAGCCTTGAAGTCATTCCCATTCTTTTCTCTCTTATACCCAATACCTCAATAAATCCTGCTGGCCTATCTGCAGACTAGATCCAGAACCTAACCACTTCTGTTTACCTCCACCACCTTTTCCTGAGCCACCAACATCTCTGATCATGATAACAGCAATGGGCTCCTATCATGCCTACTTGTTTCCAGCCACATGAACACCATGTGCTAAATGGAGCCTATATCTCAAATGCCATAAATGGTCTGAAGATGTTCACATTCCCAAGGTAGGTTGACTAACATCCCTTGAGGATGTTTTTAAAATAAGAAGAGGATGTGGTGGTGGTGGTGGTGGTGGAGGAGGAAGAAGAGGAAGAGGAAGAGGTGGAGGTGGAGGAAGAAGTGGAGGTGGAGGTGGAGGAGGAAGAGGAGGAGGAGGAGGAGGAGGAGGAGGAGGAGGAGGAGGAGGAGGAGGAGGAGGACAACGACGACGACGATGACGATGAGGAGACTAAAGTAAGAAAGCGTCCCTTCCAAATGTGGCAAGTCTGGGAGGTTGTGGACCTGGGAGCTACAGGCCACCGTTGTTTGGGCATTACGAAGAAAGTCTATCTAGATTGTATAAAAATGAAAGAGGCCATTTAAGTTCCTGGTTTCAGTTTCCTCTCATGCTTTCCCCTGGCTTGAGTAAGCAAACCAACACATTAACACTTTTACCTCTTTGCCTATACTAGTTACATTTGGTTTTCTATTTTCTTACAATATATAACATTGCTAAGGCCATCTTACTTAAGTTATTCATATTTTCTTCTTATTGTTGTTTAGATTAAAAGGCTTTATGTTTCTTAGAGTAGTTTTTAGGTTTACAGAAAATTTGATTGGGAAGTACAGAATTCCCACATGCTCTCATTCCTCCTTCCCTGCACAGTCCCCCCAATTATTTACCTCCTGCATTAGTGTAATAATTATGATAAACCAATATTGATTCACTATTATTAACTAAAGTCTATAATTTACATTAGGATTCACTCTTTGTGTTGTACATCCTATGGATTCTGATAAAAAAAAATACAGTGACAGTTATCCACCATTATATATCATTCAGAATAGTTTCACTGACTTAAGAATCCCTTGTGCTCCACCTTTTCTTCCCTTTTTCTCTCCACCTCTTCATTTACCTTTTCACTCAACACAGATCTAGTGAACACCCATCATATTAAACTGTTTTAGTTGCTAGGAACACAGCTATCTATAATAATAAAAGTGTATTTAGACTGGCTATCCTTTCTTCCAGACAAAACTTCAGTGAGTAAGGGCCACTGCAGAGGCTGCAGAAGCCCTGGCCACAGAGACGGTGGAGGGGTCGGGGGAGGCCACGGCCAAGGCCCTGGCATGTATTTCATGCATCGGTCTTCTACTAACCAAATAAATGCAAGGAAGTGCGAGGTGGTGACTCAGTAGGCATCAGCTTAGGAGACAGTAGAGACAAGAGTAGTCCCAATTTTTTCAACTTCAGCTGGTGACCTCAGTGAGCACAGTGTGAGGGCTCTTACTTCTACAATTCTTATTGTAACGAGCACAAATATGTCACTGGGAGAATGGGATAATAATAAGCAACAAGAAATTGCCTCTACAGTAAGAG